TCTTTTGTTTGTTTGTTTTTGGTTTTTTTTGAATGGTAGCTAGAGACCTCTGCTTCTTAGGGTTTCGGTCGGATTGGTTACTGAGAGGGACTGGAGCGGGCTTGTAGCTGTCGCAGGGTGCACAAATCCCGAAGCTGCAGCAGAAGGGAGCCGGAACAAAAGTTTCACCTAAGACTTGTATATCCTGTGTCTTTAAAAAATGGCTCCTAAAAGCGATGCCCTGCGTTAGGGATGAGCAGACCAGTTAAGTTAAAACTCAGAGTTTGTGTTTTACCGAAATATGGATTAGTTTTCTGAGGTGAAGTAACTCTCCCAGTTTTCTTTGTGTGTAGAAATTGGTTATAAGCTGTCTTTATTTTACAGAGATAGCAGGCTTGTTCTCTTAACTGTAAATTGCATGCAGCTTGGTGTTTATCTCCTTTTAAATGAGAGTATTTTAAATGCTATCCTCTTCTCATTGTCCCCAAAATAGAAGAGAGGAATACAGGTGTATTCATTGTTTTTTAATTGTCAGAAAGACTCATAGCTGATTGCCACCACACTCAACATGTACTAGTGTTTAAGACCCTGAGATGGACAAGTGTACACTGTTGTAGCACTGATACTTTTATATCTTGTGCTTGATTCCTATTTGAGGAAATTCACTGAACAGCATGTGAAGAGAAGTGGACACTTAGGTGTGATCATTATTTGGACTACCACAGAGAAATGTTTTTGATTTTGTAGTTATTGGTGTGATAACTTTGTTAGGTTTCACTTTTGTTGCTTCTCACCACAATGTTTGAGGTGGACTATACCATAGTAAAATACTTCATGTTTCATTCCACTGCAGTGCTATTTTACTTCTGATTTAATTCCAGATAACCTTAGCTACAGCCTCCATTAATTTTTACAGGTCCTTCAAGTCGCTTCGTAGGATGCAAAATCTGGAATGGAATATAGAGCTTTACATCTTTCCATTCTTGAAGGCACGCCTAGGTGTAACTGTCTCTGTCTTTTGAGGAAAGGTCAGACTTTTCTGCCTGAGTCAACTCCTCTCTGCCATTCCTTGTTTTTAATGCCCAGGCTACTGGGTAGAAACAGACCTCAGCTTCCTTGGTAGTGTATCTCCCCACTGAGGCTAAATTTTAATTCAGATTTTTAGGTCTCCAGCCCCCACATGCAGCTGATATTCCTGGAGATTATGTAAACTGGAGGAAAAGAATTCTCTTGCAGAGAAGTAAAACTAATTTTAGTATAATAAAACTAGGTTTTACTAAGTTAGTAAAACTAACTGCCAGCTCCAACTTGTCATTACCTGCTGTCATGGTTTAGGGCTGGGCTGGCCACTGAATCCTGGACAGATGCTCTCTATTAACCGCTCTGCCCTCCCCAGAAGGGAAGAGAAAAGAGAATAAAGGAGAGAGACTTTATGGGTTGGAAAATAAAACAAACAGATTTAATAAAACAATAATACTAATATTGCAAGATAATAATGTAAATAGGAAAAGAATGAAATATATACAGATATGTACAGATATATACAAAACCAATATAAAATCCTCCCCCCTCCACCTTTACCCCAATGACGAATACGTCACAAGAGGCTCTGCAGAGCAGGGCAATGGAGGAGTCCCAGACTGAACTCAGCAGCAAGTGGGAGCAGGTTGCAGGAACACATGAATCAGGATCAGATGCAGATGAACTAGCAGGGTTCTGCTCGGACTTTGGCCGTTGCAGGATCAAGACAGATGGAAGGGTCTGAGATGGAAGAGCTCCAAGGTGGAAGAAGGGTCGAGACCCTTGTGATCCCTTGGCTTTATATCGAGTATGACGTATGTGAGATGGAATACCTCGTTGATCAGTTTTGGGTCCGCTTCCCCCCCTGCCCCGTAGACACAGACATGGCACCCATGGTGAGACAACTTAGCCTTGAGCTTATCAGTTCACACTATCTGGGAAAAACATCCTACTAGGTTTCAGCAAGTTCAGCCACTTAAAAGAGACTGAGCTGAAAAGTAAAATCACTAAATAGAAAATTAGTTCTATTTAGCTCAAACCAGGACACAGGGCTGGAGAAGCAAATTAGCAAATCTGTGCTGGCCTAACTTTCTTTCCACTGTAGTAACTCTCCTGTGATTTATAGTGACCCATCATTTTTCTAGCCAGTGTTGCCTAAGGTGGCTTAAAGGTTGACCAAACTGCTGCTGAGGTGTTTTGCAGGGAGGAAGAAGGCAAAAGCAGATTCAAGGTGGTCTAGTTCTTCTTTAGTGCTGTCAGTTCTCCACCCTGTCAATATTTTGGCAGCTCGTTGCAGTGCAACTGTTCTTGACAGCATGGCCATTGGTGTGAAAGCCTGCTCTGGAGCTGAACTGTGCTGCACAAGCACATATTGATGTCACTACAGCAGCAGGAGTAGGGAGCCCAAGAGCAAATCTGAAAGCAGCCTCACCATGCCTATGCTGCTGTGGACAGACTGAGCTCTGTGTTGCCATGGATCAGGTGTGCTGCTTTCTGATGCGGGAACTGTCTATTAGAGTGCTGTATTCTTAAGGACCTTAAAGCGTTACAGTTCCAAAATAAGGTGTATGTCATTTAGCTGTAGCGGGTTATCTCCAGCATTGCACCATTTTCCTCAGTCTTCACAACTTCTACTTTGCCAGACATAATAATTCAGACAGATGAGCATTCGTAAGGCACTGATAAAACAAGCATTACACAAAACTAAAAGTAGTTAAGTTATTGAAGGAACTGCTTTTTTTTCCAGATTCAAAAAAAGGCATAATTTTGATCCTGGCTTCTGTTAATGTAGCGATCTTCTATGTTTACTGAATGTGTGTGTGAACAATGTTAACAGTCTTTTGTTGATTTTGAGCTTTATGATTGCTCCTGTTGTACACTTCTTACATGATTCTTAAGACAATAAATTATTCATCCTAAAATTTGTACAGTTTTCAAGATTTTAATGAGGAATCTAACAATCTGAATGTGATAAATAAGTGACATGAGTAACATGAGAACAGATCCATCAATACTACTACAAAGAGTGATCTAGGTCTTCCCAAATGCTTGAGTGTATTTGGTGTCGGAGTTTGTGGATTGTTTCTGGTATTTTCCTTTGCACTACCTCTCGTGCTCCACAGGGGGGTAGCAAAAGGAAATAAGAGAACTGCTAAAACTTCTTCAGAGTATGGGAGTTTACAAAACCATCTGGTGAGGAAGGCTTTCTCAGAAGTATGTGATGTGTAACAAGGACCACAGAGCCTCTGCTTGATAGAAACAAAATGCTTGATGAGCCAGCTAATATAATGGTTGAACAAATGAGGTCTCTGAATGGGAAAGTTAAGAAAAAGCTAGAATAAGAACAGTGGGGTGTGTTGTAGGAGGGGAGTGTGGTAAAATGGTGGAACCATACAGTAATACATCATGCCAACATGGTTCAGAGTTTTTTTCCCTTTATAAGCAACTCAGCCATGATGTGAATTCCTCACCTTACAAGTGAGACAAACTTTGCAACAACTGGTTGCATTGGAGAAAGGAAAAAGCAGGAGTATTTTTTCTATGTGTGATAAATGGTGACATTATTTTTAAATACCATTACTAGGCTTGAGATTGTGAAAAGCCTGACAGTCCTCATTCCCTCCAAAGAGCTAGAAGTGTTCTGAACTCAAGAGAAAACTTGACTTCATTAAAAACGGAATTATCCCTAGAAAGACAAAACCAAGATACTTTCCAGAAATTAAATAGAAACAAGAAAATTTTTCTTTAGTTGGAGTATGAGATCACAGGTTAGTTTAGTCTCGGTGAGAATATATGTTTCAAATTACCTTTTTTCTTCCCCTTTATTGCAAAAGAACTAAAACAGATGAGGAATGAGCAAGAACAAGAAACTGGTGATTACTAAAGCATGACAGGTGGTAATTGTGAGTCAGTTCATGCTTTCACACTACAAGTTGTATAAAAGCACAACATGGGACTTTTATCCTGATTTCGTAAGGAAATAAAATACTTTTTTTTTTTAAGTGGCTCTTTACTTTGCCCTCTCTTTTCCTTTTCCATTATGCTTTGAAACTGTTAGTCACTTTCATAAAAATTTGGGGAAAAGTACTTGAGGAGACTTAGTAAAAAAAGTAGGAGGAGCAGGAGTCTGTTAAGTTTTCACTTAGGGAACTTAGGTTGTGAGTCAAATAAAACCTGACGCTAGTGTGTCTACAAAGGAGACAGTGACACAGCAGCAGGCAGTTTGATTGAGGGCACTTATACCTTCTCAGGTACCAGACAAACTAATTGTAAGTATGTGAAGAAATCCAGCTCACAGGAGGTGTTGGCAGTTTCTTATTTCACTTGTGAAGATGCTGTTGAGCTATTTCACTTTTCAGAAGCTGTACAGAGACTGCTTACAGAAATGGGGAAGTTCTTAGATCTTGGCAAATCAACACAAAAACCTTCTGTATGTATAATACTATATAGTAATGCCTGGTATTCAGTATGGTGGTTATGTATAGGACTGTTTTTCCCCATGTAAACAAGAAGCCTTTGTTATAATATGCTTTATATAGGTATTTCTCACTCATTAGAGGCATTCCCAAATAACACTATTTTATTTTTAGTGGCTAGCCCAGCCCTAAACCATGACAGAATTAAATGATGACTTGGCACATCTTTGTGGATTTTCCATAGCTTTTAAAATTTGACATCTTTAAAGATGTCATAGTATAAGAAATAGGCAAATTAAATACAGTTGTTTAAAATTAGTCATTTGAAATTTCTTTTCTTTTTCATCTCAAGCAGAAAACACACTTTGTAGCTGCCTAATTAGTTTTTCAGAAATGCTGTTAAATGGAGTGTAATCACAAGATGACTAACATGTACTTTTCTGTGTAAGATCGGAATTATTGGTGGAACTGGCCTGGATGATCCAGATATCTTAGAAGTAAGAACAGAAAAATATGTTGATACTCCTTACGGCAAGGTCTGTATAACTTGTTTTTTTATTACTGAGACTTTTTGCTATTTTTAAGGATGTTTGTATGCCTTAAGAACTTTCAAACTGTTAAATGAATGCATAAAGGAGGTATTTTCACAAGACTACTTCCTTTTAGTTGCTATGTATTTTGTGATTCTTAGTTTGTAGAAACAAGGTATTACAAAGATGGTGTGCAAAGGAGACTGTACCTCTTCTCATTTGCAGACTGAATGAATTTACAAACTCGGTCCTGAATTTGCAATCAAGAGGGATAAACTGTATTTCAAATCTGTACTGTTTTGTGGCCTGCAGTATATATCAGATCACTTCAGGAACCTTTCTGAATTGCAGAGAAGTGTCCTTTAAGGTATACGGGCCACCATTTTCCCTGTAACCACTGAATTATGCTTTACACACCAATGCTCCCCTTACAGTTGTCACAGCCCACTTGGGTGGTAATTACTGAAGGATTGTGTGTTGGTAAATGTTCGGGCTCTCAAGGGAACAAATCTGAAGGCAAATCTAGGTAATGTCCTGGCATAACAGAATGTCAGTGCAGCACCCAGACTGCTCTCTGACCACCTTACTTGTGTCCAACTGTTCAAACTAGTTGTGTGTCCAGTACCATACATTGTATCTAACCACCAGCCTTATAAGGTAGTAAAATAGAGCTCAGGGGACTAAGTCAGAAAATACATAACAAATAAAAATTATCCACTATATTTGAGGGGAGAGAGAATTAAACCAATCAAACATTAGGATCTTAGTGGTTGTGAATGTTTTATTAAGAGGATATAAGTAACCCCTGCTTTTGATTTATCCAAATATTCACTAATTAAGGTCTGTAAACATCCAATAGTAGCGATGGGCAAAAGGGAGTGGAGTGGAGGCACTATACACAGTGTCAAGCGTGTTGTGAAGGACAATACCTGCACGCATTTATAGGAGGAACAGGCAAGACAGAGGAGGAGAGTGAGTTTTGTAGGTGGGAAATCAAGGGGGAGAGAAGTTCTAGTTGACAAAGGAGGTTCATAGAACTGGATCTCAGATATTCTATAATGTCATAAGACCAGGGGACTCCAGGTGCTTTGTAATTGCTATTGAAATTATATCTCGTGAATCTACCACTGTAAACTAGTACACATACAATAAAACATCTGACATATGGTAGCAAGAGCCATTTTATGGGTAGAAGCTTGCCAGAAAACAGTGCTGTGGTGTGTGATTGGAATCCATGCCTCCATTCAAAATGGTTTAAAGGGAAAGTAAAAGTGTGAAAATCAAGAGGAGTTTGTGTGTGCACCATTCAAGAAGGAGAAGAAGATAAAGATTAAGGAAGGAGAAAACATGATGAGTGAAATACTTTTGACTTTTCCACCATCCTTCAAATTCTGTAAACAAACTGTGAGAATGAAGGGACCCTGCCTCCTCCATTTTCTGTACCCTGCTCTCCTAACAGCAGCCAGTTCATCTGAAGTAGAATTCACAGGCTAAAGCAAAGCAGTTGCCATTGCATTCCTCATTTTTTGTAAGTCATGGATGGTCACAGTATGTCTCTATCTGGAGATTGCTTACAAAGCAAAAATTGTAGCAGATATTAACTGAAGCATTCGTATCCAGTAAGGATGAAACACACTTTTCCTCCCTCACAGGGGTCTGTTCAGATCAGACTTAAGGCACAGTGGCAGCACAACATTTGGGAGGATGTTCTTTCACAGCACTGGGATGCAACAGGATTTGGGTGGCCCAAATTCTGCAGTGCAGTAGGTGACCCACAGCAGTGTTTAGTATTACTGAGAAGAGTAGGAGTACCTGCAGGATGGCTCCTGCACAAGGGACTGGAAAAATCTTCCTCAGTCCTGCATCTTTGGTCAGTACAAAGGGCTTTTAAAGTTTCATTTAGGAAGCAGTTTAGCTACCATGCTTTTTCTGTGTTCTTCAGAATGCATCATTAATAGGGGAAAATAAATCTTGGTTGCCTGTTGTAGTTTATGAGGGGCCTTGATCAATGGAATTGCTGTCTGAGCTTGTGTGTTACGCATTTAGCATAGGCTTAACTTAAAGGAAAAGGCTTGTGAATATTCTGTCTCTATGTGTGTAGGGGGAGGTGGGGTATAACTGAGGTGTCATGGGAAGAACTTGAGCGTGGATTCTAGATACTGTGAGCTGAATTGGGACTGTCAAACTGACCTGAAAACTGCAGCTTCATGGGGTTTCAGTATCTGGGAAGGGGAGCACAGCCAAACAGCAAGGTTTTGTCCATACCCCCACTGGCTCTTTCTCTTCTTTCTGCCTGTAGATCTGAACTCCTAAGAGCACAGACCATGAGTCTGATGGTTGTTTCACAGATTCTCTCCTGCATAGAATCAGATTAACTTCACTGTGAATGCAGTTTTCATCCTCATGGAGCAACTGGTGGATCAGCCCTGGTGTAAGATGTTCAAGGCTTAAACCACAAGTTACAGTGCCATAACGTGCATTGAGTGGATTGAGTTGATTGACTTCAATTGAAGCAGAAACAAGCTTCACAGATTTATTTATATTAGGTGGTTTAATGTTTGCTTATTTTGCTGCTGGAATTTATTTAGCATTCAGGAAGGAGGTGTTATACAGGCTGCCTCTCATTTTAGAGCAGAGATAAGAAAAGCAGCTAAAGTGTGCATGTAAAAATTTAGAGGTTTGTGCTCTATGTTATTTTTTCTTTCTAAAGGTGTGTCTTCTTCTTGATTGTTACTGAAATAAAACCACTGTGATTTTTCTGTCATAAAGATGCTTTTTCAGAGAGCTCTGATCTCAGTGGAGAGAGAATCTGCCTGAAATTTTAAGAGGTAGAAGACTTAATCTAAATAAACCGTTCAGAATTCTGTGGTCTTTTAATTACTGAGAGAATTAAGAATGCAGCATCAAGCCTATTTAGCTCAAGTAAAACTGGGAAGAAGGAAAATAAATGCCAAAAGGAAAATGCAAGGCATAGTTAAAAAACGTATGTCCATTTCATTCTATCCTGTAAATATGCGGTGCACAATTCTACTCTTCTTAAATTTTGGTTTTTAACTGTTAAGTTTCTTCACAAGGACATAGCCAAAAGGCTTTTAGCTGAAAACCTTTCTGATTATGACATTCCTTGACACCTTTTATATTTGACAGCAATAAAATAGATGTTTCTTTAATACCGTTTCTTTACTTTTAGAAGCAGAATAATAGTTTACCTTTTGCTTATAAGGAGTCCTTGAATTGTCTTCTGCTTTAGCCTTCTCAAATCCTAAGAATCATTTAATAACTAAGCTTACAACATTAGGGAATGTGGCAATATCTTTTTCAGGTGAAATGTGAAAAAGTTTAAAGGAAACTAACATGAGAATTTTTGCAGTTCTTTATATTGGCATTGATCCTCCCATGATCTTTCAAGATACATAAGTAATATTAGTAAAAGTGCAGTACTTTAGTTTTTTTAAGAATAAATATGCTTACGGCTGTTAACATTCCATCCTTTCCTCCCTTGTCTGCTTCTACCATTTTCATTGCATTGTGAAGAATACCCTAAACCCTTTTGGCATCTTATCTCCAGATATGGAAATTTTTGTTCTCTTATAGGATGAGAAAATAACTTGCAACAGCATTTATCTTCTTCATTTAATTTTGAAGCTTTATTAAGCTTTGTTTAGAATATACTTTCAGTTAGATTGTTTTACTTTCTGAATGACAGCTTTCATCAACTTGGTAAAATATCTTCCTGTTCTAGAAAATTATTTTCGGTGCCCCTCCTGTTTTTTTAGTCATAGGTGTATCCGACAGAGTGGAGGGTTTCCACCTTGCAAATGAGCTTCGTGTTCTTGCATCAGGAAAATCAAACAATGGGACGTAACTCTTAAGCTCATCTTCTGCCTCCCCAGAATGATGTGCATAATTTGGTTTCTAAACTAGATCACAGGTTAAATGAAAGCCTGGCGAACCTATGAGACATTTTTCCATCTCAAGTTTTCCTTATATTTGTATTTTGCATATTCATGCTATTCTCTGTTTCAGCTTGCTTCTGAGGTGAGAGCAAGGAAAAAATTAAGCACCACATGAACAATACTTTATACATATTTGTGTTGCAGGCAAAGGGAATTTATTTTGTTTGTTACTGTCATAATTTAGAGTTAACTGCCCAGGGTTCTCTGCTTCCTTTTCTGTTTTGCAACATTGAGTAATATGTATCTGACTTGGATTTTGTGGAAGGGGGAAGTAGTTGAATACATGTATGAATTAGTAATGTTTGAGAACTTTTTATTTGGCCTTTTTACTTTTACTTAAAAGTACTCTATTAGAGTTTTAAATTCAAATTGTTCCATTGGAATTTTTTATTATTTTGTCAGCATTTCAAAGCTGCCAACTACCTCTGAGATAATAGTGGAGAGGTACAGAAGTGGAAAGAATGTGTGGGAGAAAGACTGGAGCAGAAGCAAACACTAGCTCTGTTACATGGTTAACACAGAGTTTGAAACTTTTGTATCTTTTACTTCCTTGTAACTTTGCACATACTGATTTTTTCTTACCTCCTTTCCTTTAATGACCCATGGTGCAGTGTCTGCAAATTGTAGCAGTCATATGCAAGAAAGGAATTCAAGCAGTCACCTGGCAGATGCCCTCAATGTGTTCTGTGGAAATCTGTATAAAGATGACAACCAGTCCTGTTACACGACCACTCTGAAGCCTTTTGAAGTGACTGGGATGGCAGTGGACAGAGCAGGAAACCCTGGCTGGCTCAACTACATTTTGAAACCTGTTGGATTTCAAAGCGGTTGTGTTATTGCTGCATCAGCAGTGAATGCCAGAATTCAGTGGAGTTCTGGGGCGGGGATGAATATGAAGTAACAGTTAAATTGCACCTTTTTACCCCAAATCTTTTGGAAATTGGTACAAACTTAAATCTATTGCTTGCAATAAACTTGAATCTGTCACTTGTAAAGCTAAGGTTCCAGTCTTCAACTTACTGATCTTTACTTTTCATTTTTACAGGAGGGAAGGAATTTCGGCTGAAGTCCTCTTTAGTTTTAATAGTGTTTTTGTACCCTGCTGTGAGCTAAATTGTGTGTTTATTACTTCAGGCAGCAAATGTATGCTCTCAGAACAAAGCAAACCCAATAAACAAAACCCCAAATGCTTATTATTGCGAGCGGTCATTGTTATGGAATGTTGCAACATCAAAATGCCTTGGCAACTAGACAGTAAGGGTTTTGGCCTGTGTGAAATTTCGCTCTTAAAGCTGTGTCAGGTTCAGAAGAGTATATATAAAGTGAAGTAAATACATGAAACATTTAAATGTCAACATGTTAATATTAAATGGGTACTTTTTAATATTCAAAAAGACAAACTATACTACCATTCCAAAAATAAATTTTCTAGAACATTCCCTTTATTTAAAAAAAAAAGTTATAAGCCTGTGTCTGACAGAATTTATACCTACGTGATTAAGTAAATTATGGTGCTTTGAAGAAATTTCACATTTGAAATTACCAAAAAAAGCTGTGCAGAAGGGAATGGAAAGTGGTATTTTTATTAGAAATTAGTATCTCTAAAATGCAGCTATACAGCACTCACTTATTACTCTTTTCTAGATCTCTGCAAATTTTCATGTGTGTAGTAGAATCAACAGCTCTAAAGTGAAATGATAATTGAAATCATCCGCCTGGCATTAAAGTACAAATAAAACTATCAAGTAGCAAGCAACAGAAATTTTCTACGTGCAAATGTGTGAATCCTTCCAGACACTTGCAAACTTGTGATTAGTAAATAAATCATAATTTTGTTAATAGCTATTTCATGTTTAAATCCCAGACCGTGGAAGGAGAGATTGGCACAGAGTGGCTTCCAGCTTTATATTTCTTCTACACTGCAGTGAAATGCATGCAGCTCTGAACTGGCAGGAGAAGCAGCACATCCAGCTGGACCACTGTTCAGCACAAATGCAGTTTAGCATCTAATTAACAGAGGCCTTACATATTTTAACAGAAAAGGAAGCTAGAAACATTCTGTATTTCAAATCCCTGATGCATATAGCCCAGGAGCAGAACACAGCCCACAGAGGAGTTAATTTGTTGTAGTGGCAGTTGATGACTTGGGAGCCTGCTCCTCTTGGACAATATGACCATGTCCAAGGCACATGTCCCAGCTGGGCAGCTACAGATAAAATGCTGTACCTTCCTGGCTGGCTGGTTATTGAGGAGGAATGCCTGTTCTCATTGCTTAGCTGTGAGAGCAGAGTGCATGCTGTTTCCTGGTCCCTGGACTGACCAAATACAACACTGCTTCTGCCACTAGTGTACCAAAAGTTCTCTGTCATTTCACAGCTCTCTTCCCAGAAGTAAGGATCCCAGCAGCAGGGAACTGAGAGTTTATCAGAAACTTGGCAGGGAGTGAAGGGTGGGTTGGAGGAGTCTAGAACTCCTCCTCACACCTTCAGTGTGAGCTAGGGGGCTGTGGTAGAAAGAGGACAGATAAGAGATTGAGGAGTGTTATGGAAAGAGACAGATTAAATGTGATTTCTGTTGGGAGGGGGCTTAGTAGAGTATCGCACCTGTTTAGCAAAAAGCAACCAAAGTTTACAGGAAAGAGATGCTAACAAATTTAAGGGCAGCATGTACATTGTTTCTTTTTTTCGTATTTTTCTAGCAGTGTTTGAAATACTGTTTAAGAATATTTCAAAGTATTACTGTTTCAGAAGTGAGGAGTGGCAACATTAACATTAGTATGAACACAGAAAAATTGTGATAATCCTTCTGGTGTCAAGTTTGATCTTCTTGTTTGAGATTGTTTTACTAATCTGTCATAACAAATTAGAGTCTTATTCTCAGCTGAAGAAAATGTGAGACTACAGTGGTAACCGGTGTTTCCTTTCATAACTATCCTGTTTATTTTTAAGTAGCAGTTAAGATTTCTAATGCAACTGTCAGGCTGTAACTCATTGTTATGTGCTTGTTTTGCAGCCATCAGATGCTTTGATATTGGGAAAGATTAAAAATGTGGACTGTGTGCTGCTGGCAAGGTAAATGAGCATTTTAAGGGATTTTAAAATGTGTCGTTACATTTTCTCAGAAGTTTTTTCTTTTTACATTGAGTTAACTGAATTTTTACTCTGACTTCATCTTACTCTGTATGGTTGCTAGCAAAGTCTAGAAGAAGTCTGGAATTTTTAACTTAAAAATAATGCCCTTTCATTGAGTCCTGGCTGTTAACTTTATTGCTTGGGAGGCCATCCTGTGTAGTTCTTCCTCCCTGGGTCATTTTTATTTAGACATCTTTTACCGTATTTAGAAGAGACACTGGAACCAGGATGTGCAGATAAGTGCATGGAAGTTTCACACTAATACAAGTGCGGATATCTAAAACCAACATGCCACTAGATTAAATGTTATAAGAATGTTGACACAGTTCTCAGCATCTGGAAAACATGGGCAGAGCCAGGTGCTTGATAAGGGTCTGTCAGCAGTCCCAGACAAGTTGAGGTGACGAATAAAGTCCATTATCTATGCAGGGAGTCCAGGCCAGAGCAGTAGGCGATGGGACAGAGGCAGGGTTGGAGACAAGGCTGCAGCGTGTGTCGGAAGTCCATCCAGAAGACAGGTCTGGAAACAAACTACGGCATAGGTCTGAAAGCCATTTAGGAGACAGGGCTGGGGTCAGGCACACCTGTGACATAGCTCAGGCCAGGAGTGAAGGCTGGGGCCTGAGCTTGGGGACTGAAGCACCAAGGTTACAGGCACTGGGTGTTTGGATGGAGGCCCAGAGGGAGGCTAGCCAGGACAATTACAGCCCAGTGGTGCGCACTCAGGACTCTGAATCTTTTCATGCCAGTATTTTTCCATTAAGCTGCTGACTGTTACAATCTCTGCAACTATACTTCTGTCTGTGGTTTTACTTTTCTTATCTTGCATGGACTTTGCCCATGTATTTTATCATACCTAGACACCATTCTTCTAATTTTCTCAAATGAAATTCTAAGCCAAGATCTCATGGCTGTGCTGTATCAAGAGTAGGCTTGCAGATGACTGAACAACCCACCTGTGGCTTACATTCTCACTGGGATTTATGACCATTCACATACAACCCCCTTATTAATTCATTTTTGGGGCTAAGGTACCTGCAACTTAACTTTCTGTTTTGGGAAAAATAACAGAGTTGCTCGTGAATGCCAGATTTAAAAAAAAAAAAAAGGCATGTATATTCTAGAAGAGGATTATGATAACATTAAACAATGAATCTACATGCCTAGTAGCTTATGAGAAATAGTGACAACATGGGAATCCTGCCTGATAATGCTTGGTCGTGTTGTGAGCAACTCCCAGTTCCCAGTTGATGAAGTTCTTAAGACCTTTTGGTCTCTGTGAAAGAATCAGTTGGGATATTAAGTTCTTCCTTTCTTATTATATGGTTGAAAATAATTTTCAAATGTGTTTAATCATTATGTGAGTGATAAACCTCTGTAGCAATGACAAAGATAGCACAAAAGCTTGTGCTTGTAAGAAGTATTTCCTTTGTGAAAATATATACTGCAACAGTGGGAAGTCATTCCTCTGATCTATGAAAGATATCAGATCATTTTAAGAACAAAGAGAAAAATGTGATTATTCTACTTTCAGAAGGTGACAGATTAAAAATGTGTGTTCTTTCTGGTTTTAATTTCCTGTGATGTGCTACTCTTTTCCAGGTAGGAGAACACAAACAGCACTTCTGAGCAGAAGATTTAGAGAGGCATATATAAATCTTACAGATTTGTTGTAGTGTATGTAAGATTTAATTTACTATACCTGGGTTTTCAGAATCTATGGAATGGACAAAATTCAGAGAAAAATGCTTTTTGTACTCTTGAAGCTGCTGAAGTATATTTGCATTGTCATTTCAAGATACTTTTCATTACAATCTTGAACTTAAAAGTTAAGAAGTAGAGATGTAGTGTTCTTAAATAAAATACTGAAAGAACCTTAATATGATTAGAAGAACAAGCTACACTGGAAGTAGCTGAAAGTTCTACTTCCAATGTTGTTAGGGAAATTACATTTCCTGGAATTCTCTTTCTCTGTAAGAAAGGCTATTTCAATCTGATTTATTTTACCCTTGTAACATGTATCTTTCCAGACACGGAAGACATCATACAATTATGCCATCAAATGTTAATTACCGTGCCAATATCTGGGCATTAAAAGAAGAAAATTGTTCACATGTTTTAGTGAGTACTGCCTGTGGTTCATTACGAGAGGAAATACAACCTGGTGATCTTGTCATAATTGACCAATTCATTGACAGGTGAGTAACACTTGTTTTTAGTTGTGTTCTTGGTTTTGGGGAGGAAAAAAGAGGACAAATGGGGTTAAACAATAACATGCTAATGTTAATTTTTTGTGGCATGAGGTAATGGCCTAATTTTTTATGGCAAAAAGATTCATACAAGAAGATGTGACAGGAAACGGGAATGAGATTACAAGTTCAGCTCTATCAGATACAGAAGAAATATTGGGCTTTGAAGAATGACCTCAAATGAAGCAAAGTATAGTTCCCTGGGAGGAGTCTTCTGAAGAGATCTGTTCTCAGATGTGGGGGAGGAACACAGATGAAAGCACAGACTGCTCTAAGAATCTGAAATGAGATGAAGAGATGAAAGAAAGCATAGAAGGAGTCAGGTAGGAAAATGTATGCAGTAATAATGAGGCTCTGAAGAAGAGTGATCAAATGCAACAAAGTGGGAAAAGAGAGGAAATTGTTTTTAAACAGAGAGAGAAGCTAACAGTTTTTGTTTGCTAAGAGTTATAAAGACATAATTATTTTCCAAAGTCTCTGTACTCCAGTCAGTGCTCTCCGTCTTGATTATCTGATGTTTAGAAAAATTCAAGCAAACAGGGAAAAAAAAGCTACATTTAAAAATCACCAAATACAACAAATATTTCAAAAATATAGTTGTGCATTTTAAGAGGTGAACTATATCTAGAAGTCTTATTTGGGTATTGCACCCAATTTTAAGTGTTCGGAATGGTTTATGCAGCTTCTTTGTGCTTTTGTGGGGCCGCTGGCAATATTTCAGAGAACAATATAATCACTTAAGTTGGAAAAGACGCATAAGATCATTGAGTCCAACATACTGGAGCAACTCTCCTATGAGGAAAGGCTGAGAGGTCTCAGACTTTTCAGCCTGGAGAAGAGAAGTCTTGGGGCAGTCTCATCAGTGTGTATAAATACCTGAAGGGAGGGCACAAAGAAGACAGAGCCCAGCTCTTTCTGTTGGTGTCCAGCGACAGGACAAGAGGCAGTGCGCACCTCGTGAAACACAGGAGGTTCCCTCTGAACATCAGGAAATACTTTTTTCACTTTGAGGGTGACCATGTGTCATGCTCACTTTAAAAGTGAGCTCTTTTATCCCAGCATGCCAACAGAGTGATACAAATCACTCAGGAGGATATAAGCAGTATATTTTACTAAACAAGATACATGGCCTGGATTCAAACTTTTAAACCCCTATGCGACAGAGCACCGACAAGAAACCAAAACAGCCCAAAGTTACCAGAACAGTGTGCAACTCAACAACGCTGTAACAATTTGATTAGAAGAACCAAGAAAAGTTTAGGGACTGATACTGCCATAATTAGAACCAAAACCCCAAACCAAAACTGCCAGCTACAGCCTGCTGGCAGCCACACATGAAAAAGGGCAAAAGGTAAAGAGAATGAGAGAAAAATGAGAGAAAGAGAGAAAAGAAAAGATAAATAGCTACAGGAGAAGTAGAAAAGGTGAAAGATAGTCACCATCTCCAAGGTCTCTGGTGTATCAGCGCATGTTTCTTTGTTCAGCCAAGTTTGTAAGCTGGCAGCTGAACAAGCAGTTTCTGTGTTGAGCCCAGTTTGAAAGATGGCAAATGAACACAATCTCAGGCTTTAGTGAGGGTATTTAAACTCTCTGTTCCCACCCCTTGCCTGTACCAGGTGATAGGGCACATAGCAGACCTTGACATGCCCCTTTCCTGGGCAGTCCCAGACATGCCCTCCAGCACAGCTGCTCCTGCCACTGGGGGATCACTCCTGAGAATCGTCCATTTTGAGAGATTTAACTCACACCATGCTGGGCCCATACACTGAGCACTGGCACAGGTTCCGCAGGGAGATGGTGGAGTCTCCCTGCTTGGAGATACTCAGAAACTGCCTGGATGTGGTCCTTGGAAACCAGTTCTAGGTAGCCCTGCTTTTGCAGTGGATTGGACCAGATATTTAAACAATAAAAGATTCATTTTCTTCAGTAAGTACCAAAATATTTACATGGTGTTCTCCCTCCTTCCAAATCCAAAAGTAACCACAGATACTATTATGGGCTACAGCAGTTGTTCTCTTCTTTGAAATAAGAGCCTAAAAAAGTGTGGAAGAAACTTCTTTATACCTTTGGCTCTTGTTAGTTTATTTCAGTGCTGTTGGTCAGCAGAATGATTTGGGGCTTTTCATTACTTTCTGTTTGGTTTGCTGCTGTGTTTGCTAGGAAAGGAAGAGTAAGGAGGTGACTACTTACTTGTATGACTCAGCTTAGTTGGGAAGATGCAAAAAACAGCTTCATGAAATAAATCCTGTAACAGCTGCCAACTTCATTGTTTGTATTCTTTGTCTCACATACACCACTATTATTTTTATGGTGTCGTTGCACTCTATAAACTCTATATTCTCTATAATGGGAGAATTTTCTCCTGCCCCTGGAGAGGCAGAGAGTGCTGAAACTGTTTTGTATATAGCAGATACCAGTGTGAATTTTCATTTTGTTGTTTAATTGCTAATAGCTTATTAATAATTCAACATTATTATTATTATTAATACTGGAAGAAGGGGAAGGTGATACAAGTGTTAAAGGACTGTTTGTCACAAATGGAAATGGTTGGTTTGTTCACTTACTCAAATTGGATTTTGCTTCCTAACATCAGTCATAGTCAGCATTGCCAGAAAATCTTATGTTACTGTGATAAAATAAAAATGAAAGAGCAAAAACCACCTTACTGTCCTACTATAAATTTGGCTATTGGTACAGGGTGGGTAATACAAACTCTGGGGACACCTTCAAAATTGCAGTATGTGCAGACTTGAATTTGAAAAAGCAGAAAGGGCAAGGCAGGCATGGCAAAACTATGCAACAGTGCAAAGTTTTGCTTATGCTATGAGCACCACTGTCTCCTGAAGCTTGATACACAAGCAGTTATGCATAAAAAAATACATGCCCTTTCCCAGGGAAAGAATTCCCTTTTCTTCTGTACTGCCACCCACTGTTTGGCACAGAGGCAGTGTGAGGGTTGGGTGGGGACTCTCCATAGAGCCCTGCAGAGATCGGACCGCCAGCAGGAGCTATGCAGTCCTAGCTGCTTGCTTGCTTGTAGTTAGCAGTCCAATGCTTTCAGCTGCTGCTTCTGATCTCACCCAGTGGGAGCATCTCGTAGTTTCCCTTTATGCTATGCTTGATTCTTCTGGATTGTGCACTTCTACTATGAGTAGTGTGGCTAGTTTCTAGGCAGGCATTTTGTGACTTCTTCCTGTTTTAATGTAAACAGGCAACCATACAACATTCAGTCGTGCTCATTTTTGTTAGGCAGGCTTTCTATCTGAAGGAGGTCATGCAGATTTATTTACGTTGAAAACTGTGAGATCTAAAGGGCAGATTGTCTTTGAAGACTCGACGCCTCAGGACTACCTCTGATAAGAAGGAAAGAAGGGTAATTGTAGTGAGCAGTTCCCTTCTGAGAGGGACAGAGGACCCAATATGCAGACCTGACCCTCATCATAGGGAAGTCTGTAGTCTGCCCAGAGCCTGGATCAGGGATATCACCAGGGCACTCCCCAACCTGGTGCACCCAACGGACTACTACCCACTGCTAGTCTTCCAGACAGATGGGGAGGAAGCCGCATCCCGTGGTCTGAGGGGATTGAAGAAAGATTTCAAGGCCTT